AGGAGGTTGGCAGGGAGGCGCTGAACCGCTTTGGCAACACCACTGTAACCATCTTTTGATTGCGTGGCTATGATTCACTCTTTGTACCCAATTTGGGAATATCGTAGACTGTCGCCGGTCTGGACTTGTTGCAAAGGAGTCAATGTTTGCTTATCATCTTGACAATCTCGACCCTGTTCGTGCAAATAATTTGAATTGGAGTCGTGTGGAAATAGCAAGATGCATCAATATAACATGAAACTTTGCTTAGAACAACTACTCGCCATATCTATTAGTGCAAGTCTTAGGTCAAATCTTGAGAATCAGTGCGTACAGCATGTACCAGCAATACTGATAGATCCCCATCTACCCCTACCCCTCCTCAAGGCAACCCCCTCCCACTATCAACCGCATCCGCCAACATACTAGTCCCGGGTCTATTCTCCGCATACCGCTCATAACTATCCAAATAAAGCTCATCCGTACTCGTCGTCATCTTGACACTCCTCTCCGCCTCAATCGCGTCAATCCACCTCTTCCACCTACTCCCCTCTTCCGCCTCAGGCCACCCCCTATACGGACCCAACACGCGCCGCAAACGCAGAACCCACGGCGCGATCTGCACATCTACAAACGAGATGTGCGGACCGAGAAAGAAAGGCCCAGTGGGATCCGCGGCATCGACCAACTTCCCGATCTGATCCCTCAATTCCTTCGCATGAGACACTTGCTCAGCAGCGTCTTGACACTGAAGTAATTTATAAAACCACGGAATAACATTCCGATTAACATGATCGGCCCAAAGACGCGAAGTCGCACGTGTTTGCGCATCCGGAGGCAGGAGGTGCGGTCCAGCCTGCAGGTCTTCGAGATACTCCATTATAACCGTTGATTCGTGGGTCGACCATGTAGGGCCGTGGCGCAGGGCGGGGACGAGACCGCGCGGGTTGACGTCGAGGAGGGATTGCGGTTTCTTGTAGGGGTCGACTTCGATGTATTGGTAGGGGATTTGCTTGTGCTCGAGGGATATCCAGACGCGTTGGACGAAGGGGCTGGGTGGGGTTAGTTGGTTGGGCGTGGGGTTGGGGGGATTGGGGAGGTGTGGCTTACCAGAATGCGCTACCGTATAGTTTTAGGTCGTCTTCTTTGGAATGGTTCTTGACTGTTGTCAAGGCATTGCCGGTGGCTTTTTTGTGGTACGTCTTCTTGGAAGGATCTCCGCCCTGGTTGGTGTCGGTCATTTTGGATCGAATGGTCTCACTACTGATTCGCAAAGATGGTGTTTGGAATGAAGAAAGGGTTGAACAAAACGTAGTCTTGGAGATGGTGGAAGGACGAGTGCAGGGATATGGTAAAAAACAGGGCAATGTGCGAAGTTTACAGAAAGAACTCATGAATAATGTCGAAGACTTCGAATCAGTGTAAGAACCAAGCAGGCTGTCTTAAATGCCTGCAAGTTGAGCAATGGGCATAGTCGGTGTTCCAAGCATGCATCAAAATGACGTATGCGCTTGATCTGCGGGCAGTGTGGATCGCCATTGCATATCACCATGGCTAGATGGGTCGGTGGAACGGGAGAGCGGAGTCTGAGATCAAAGAAAGAAGTGAAGCTTACCTGCGATCTCTTCCTGTCGTCTTTGTCGATTTTGGCCTGCCACCTGATGACACTATTCTTCTTTACACGATCACTCTCCTCAAGCGAATGCTTATGTGGCCCGGCAACGCCATCGCCTTTGCCATTCCCACCGTTTCCATTCACCCTCTGGAATGTATAGAATTTCTTCGATGGAGCGCCGGACGAAGGAGCGTATTCTGGCATGTTCATGGCTGGCTGAGCGCTTATATTTGGAGGCATATCCCAACTCCCAGCCGGTTGTTGCGGCAGTAGCGGTTGCTGCCCGAAAAACTGCGAATTCTGATTCTGACCCGTCCGGTTGGGGTTCAGCGGCATGGTCGATGCGACCGGGCTCGGCGGGTCGTTCTCTGTGCCTGGTGGTCGTCGACCAAGTTGTTCCTCATACTCCCGTCGATCGAAGAACTCAGTAATCTTGATCTTGACATCGCACAGGTCCCGCTCTCTTGCAACTCTCTTCCTCTTCTTCTTGTCTGGGTCTGTGGATTTCTTGGTGCCCGGTGGTCGCCCTTTGAGTCGGCAATCCCAGTAGTGCGATACGAAGCGTTTGCGTTTATGCCGTTGGGTCGAGCGATGTGAGTAGACGTTGTCGATATGAGGGAAGTAAGTCTGGAACCTAAGAAGGTGGTCAGCGCATAATCCTGAGTATGCGAGCAAGTTATCATACTGCTCCTCGGTCAGAGTGATCATGTCATCGACATGAAACAGTCTCTCCCTCCATTCTTCCAAGTCTGGTGGATTGGGAATGAGCTTCAGGCCTTGGAACTGGCCATGGTTGGACAATGGAGTGTCGTCGCTATCGAAGGATCAGTAGGGTGCGCTTTGTCGCTACGCTCAAGCCAACGTACCCATCCTGGCTCTCCTGCTTATGCAGCAGAGGTGCTGGTTCTACATGGCGTGGCAGTGGCTGCGGCGCCGCGAGTATTGGCGGTGCAGGCGGTGGGAGAGGAAGTTGCTGGACCGGTCGTTGTACCGTCTGAGGGGATGCGTGATACTGTTGCGCGTGTTCTTGAAGCGGGGGAGGGGGCGCGTTCATGAATCGCGGACTCGTGCCATGCTGATAGCCCGCCGGCTGGAATGGCGGGTACGGCCCTGAAGGCGGGAGCGCGTGTTGCTCAAAGTGTACTGGCAGCGCATGCGACGGTGGTTGTTGGTGCGATGGCCCGCTCAGGGCGTATTGCTGTTGGTATACATCGCTCGTGTGGAGGTTCTGCAGCTCGGGCAGGACCTGATTGTGGGGATATAGCGTTCCGTCGGGCGACTGGTGTAGCGTCTGGAGAGCGCCAGGGTGCAGTGACCGGAGCTGCTGGAGGACAGGCGAGGAAGCCTGTTGCATGATGGCGCCGGTGTTGGACGCTGCTTTAGCCCAAGCCGTTTTCGTGAAAGATGCAGGTCCACCGTCGATCCGGTATCCGAGTAGTTAGGGTTGGCGAGTATTACAGGTGTAGACACATTCAGCATGGAGAGCACCCGTATTGATGTCGCGAACGCGTGTTGATTACTTCTTTGTCTGATTCAGCACTCTATGTGGCAATGGTCGCTCCGCACACGCTTAGGAGAGCTTTCAGCCGCCTAGCTGAGCAGCGTTTGTTTGAACATCAACGCTTTTGCGGCATTCCCAACTTTTGGCATCGGAACACATGGACAAACGCTAGAAATGCCCCTTCACATAATCATCGTGGTCCTTCCATCTAAAAGATCAAATCCAGTCCCGTCAAAGGGACCGCTAACCCGCAACGCCATGCCCATGCCGTGACGAAGAGAAGCATAATCATGAAATACAGCCACATCTACCAGATCTACTCTCCAGGAAGAAGATTGCTCTTGACAGCGAACATCTTGGAAGTGACGCCTGCCGTGAAACCGTCCACCTGCCTCGAGTATTGCTCCACCTGTCTCGAGTTGAGGAGCGTCTCCAGTCGGCTGGGTTCCTGGGGCAGTTTGAACAGCCTCTGCCACTCGTCTTCGGGAAGGAGAGGTTGCTTTGAGGCTGTGCGCGCCGCGTTCTCAGCCTTGCGCTTTTGCTGCCATGCAGTGATCTTGGTCTGCTCACGAGCGAGCGAACGCTGGTAGTACTGGTAGTTGTTGATCTCTGTGTGGTGGTTCTCGATGCTCTCAAGGAGCAAGTCGCAGGTCTTCTCAAGGAAGGGGTCAATGGAGAGGTCGAGCGAGTCGTAGTTGGGGAAGAGAGGTGCCTGAGGGGTGTTCGGGTCCTGCTGCAGAGCGGCTAGGTTGGGTGGGAACTTGAGCTCCTGCTTGGGCGCGTCGGAAGGTAGCTGGTGTAGAAGCGAGGTGAGGAGGTGGGAGTTGCGGATGGTGACTGGAAGCTCGACCAGGATGTCGTGGTAGCGGAGACCACTCTTCTGGAGGCTGGGATTGTTAGTTTCCACTTTTATCTGGAATCGGTTATGCATACCTCTCAGTCGTGAACTTGCCCTCCTTGTATGCCGTCACGAAAGAAGGAGAGAGCCTGTATGCGCGCAGGTTCAGGGTACCCTGAGAACTCCTGCTTACGTCGTAGATCAAAGCGACGGTCCTCTCGTTTGGCTGGCTCTGGTAGAAGTACTGGTTCTCGATGGTGTTCAGGTTGACGAAGTTGCCCATGCTTGTGCTTGTGTACCAGCCGACGTTGTTCGCGTCCACGTTGACCTCTCGGAGGAACTTGATCATCTCGTTTCCGTATGCGATGTTCTGCTTGGCGCGGGGAGCACCAGCGGCGAGGTTTGCGACGGTATCGTTTTGGCCATCGGTCTGCACGGCAGCAGAGACTTCGGGGAAGGGGAACGAGTTTGTGATTTCTAGGACGCCGTTCTTCTCCATGCCGACAATGCTTCCGGTCGCGAGCGAGGGGAACGACTTGCCGCTTGCGGTAGCGATCTTGATCGCGACCTGAGGACCACAGTCAGTCTCTCATAGCTACACCAGGCTTCTATAACGGCTTGTCTCCAGCACAATGGCGGGGCGCACAGTGGGGTACTGGCGCCGCACTTTTCCTACGTACCAGGGCGTCGATCTGCACCGTCTTGAATAGCGCATCTTTCTGGGTGTCCGCCATCGTGGAATCGGCGAAAAGGTCTGGGGTTACGTTCGGCGGGGGTAGTAGACAATAGGCGTGCGTCGTTGTCAGGAAGGAGAATTCGGGCTCCAGTGACTGCTGCCAAGAGTTCCTCGCTTACCCGCACGCTAGCCGGATTGGACTAGCACAGCTGTAGGCGCGGTCAGGTCAATACCTCTGCTTGTAATGTAAACAACCATGGACGCAACTCTGAGGTGTTGATAATAAAGCCGAAACACTATCACCACTACTATATAAGTTCCGACTCAGCCGCTGCACAATAGACGTCTCACAACTCCAGCCCATCTCAACATCAAGGGCAAAGTCAACAACATGCCCCGCAACAAGTACGGAGAAGAGATCCGACGTCTTTACAACCCGTCTGAAGATCCTCGAACCTCTTCCATTCCGCTATCCGAGCTTCTTTTCTACGACAGGGACAGAAGAAGGGTCTCTCACCTGCGCATGAACGTCATGTCCGAGCCAGATCCTATCGTGGACGAAACAAGCGTAGTAGTCTTTATTGACGGTGCTTGTCGTAACAACGGCCAACCAACAGCGCGAGCTTCATGGGCTGTCTCATTCGGTTGGGAATCTCGTTACAATACAGGTGGTCTTCTTGACAAGTCTTTGCCTCAGACGAGTACACGTGCGGAGATCGAGGCTCTCATACAAGCGCTTGACGTGATCCGCTATGTCACGGACATACACTTCACCAGGAGGTCTCGTGTCATAATTGCAACCGACTCAAGCTTTCTGGTCAAAGCGATGACCCAATGGATGGAACGCTGGATCGAGAATGATGGCGTGGGTACCAACGGCGAACCAGTTGCGCATTTCCAAGTTCTGAAAAAGATACACGACTTGCTGAACGAAATGGAACGCAGCGACGAGGCGCGTAGTAGAGAGATATGGCTCTGGCATGTACCCAGGGAAATGAACCGAGATGCAGACGGAATAGCGAACAGAGTGCTTGATGAAGCCTGAGTCGTACAGAAATAATTAATGTTGATGACTGTTGATGCTCATGCCAATGCAGTACAAACAACAACGCCCTACGCAAATGCAGTGGTATCCAAGAGAACGTGCTAAATGTGAATGCAACAATCCCTCCTCCCTTTTCTCCATACAAAACGCCATCTCTTATCAAGCCATATCCTGATCCGAAGCACCTTTGCCTGCTTCAACGTTTTCAGGAGGCTCCAATTTCTGTTCCTCTTTTGCCTCCTCATCTTTTATCTCCACGACCTCGGTAGAGACACACGGGGCTCCTGTCTCGACAGCTTGTTTCCTCTTTTGGTTGTTGTATGGGTTCCATCGGGGTACCACGGGTTGTCGCTGGGGTTTGCGATTATTTGCTTTTGGGTTCTTCGCAATCGACCCATCATCCATGCGCATCCACTCCGTATTTTCGTTATCAATATGATCCGAGATCTCTGCATCGTTCTCATCTTCCCAGATCATCAGATTGGTCCCGTTGATCTCGATTGAGCGGCCTCCGGTGCGTGGAACGAAGAAGACATCCGGGCCAGCCTTGCTGAAGTCTTGCTCCCATGTTTCCTTCTGTTGTAGCTTGAGGATATAGTCCATTGGCAAGGCATATAGAACGTTGTCGTCCTTGTCGTAAAGTTCCTTGAGCGGGTAGTCCAGACAAGCGAGCCCGAATTTACAGTCGATCCGGCTAGACAGCGGGTGAATGCGCCCACCAAAGATCTTGAGTTCGAAAGCGATTCCACTCTCCGTCCACATGTTGTCGCCGAAGAAGACCTCGGGTTCGGAGAGCAAGGGATGGTCGTGATGCGGCCCAGATACTTCACAGAAGTGTGCAACTTCATGGGCCAGACAGGTAGCAAGGAACATGTTGTATCGCAGTACCATTGCAGGCTCCCGGTATCGTAGTAAGCTGAGCTTCTTTGCGGTAGTGTAGAAGTCTGAATGAAGGCAGATGCGACTCGTATGACACTTGTGATTAATCTTCCGCATCAAACCGTTCTTGTAATCTTTGACGAGACCCATCGATGCATATGCAGTCTCTGGTGGTAGAGGATCGTGGTGGAAGTAGAAGTGCACCGTATCGATCTGATTGTCAAGAAAGTTCTTGAACGTCGCATGGTGTTCTTCAGACCATGCTACGTCCTCTTTAATGCGAAAACAAGGCTGACCATATGCTGCAGATGTCTCCTCGCAGGCCTCCCTCTTGCCAAATACCAGAGTGTGCCAGAAGTGAGCAGTGGCCTGAGATGTCAAGAGCAAGGTGGCTAGTTGCAAAGCCGGTTTCAAGACCTCGTAGATCCCATCTGGACAACCGTGCCAGTTATCCAGACGGAAGATAGGATGTATCTCGTTGTCTAGCGTGCAGACAGGTGCAGGGACGTCTTTTCCAAAGGCTACAGCTTGTTTTTTGATCAATTCGACTGGATCAAAACCAAGCCTGACGGGCTTCTTCTTGGTCGCGTCCTTGCGATGTCCGAGTAACCTGCGGTACTTTTCCAGCGCCTTGCGATCCTCTATCTGAGCGAGATGGTGGTTTATCGAAATGCTGAGCTGCAGACCAAAGTCTTTAGGTACTTCGATCGTCGAAGGAGTGAATGAAAGTGATTTCTGATAATTCAAGACGTCGGGCAGATCATGAACCAGCTTGTCAATGCATTCATCCATGATCTTCCCCTCTTTGAGCTTGTGTAGGAGCACTGCGTTCTCGCCACGATCTTCGGCCTGCAGATCACCGTCTCCACCACCAGGTAGAAGATGACGCATCTTTCTCGATAGAGTCGGGGGTGGTCCACATTCTGGGGGTGGAGTATTCGATTCCGTAGGCGTCCAGTCCATGCTGTCCGGATCTTGCTCCTGGAAGGCGGCTTCTGGTACATCGCCATCGTCATCAACTGTGCCTTCCTCGTTGAGCTGAACATCTTGATTCAGACGTTCTTCAATGAGTTGCGTTGTATGCACCATGGCCTCATACGCCTTCCGATATCTAAAAGGGTCCATTCTGGCGGGCGTCAGTATCCTGGAAGGGTTGGGCCGAGGTGGTTGCAGTTTTGTTCCAACTTGCGCTCAAATGTGGCAGAAGCGAAAGTGGTGAAATTAGGTAGCAGTCACGTCGAAGATGATCCAATCATGGGGCTGCCTTGTTGTTTTGCACCAGTGCGTTGCGTGGCTGCATCAGTCGAGGGACAATGTCTCTTCCTACGTGCCCTAAATGGATATGTCGCGCACTTCGATCCCGACTGAGTCGCAGGGAGGAGGCAAAGTGTCCAACACCTGCCATCTCACCGAGCTTGGCTATGCAGCGTAGGTGTGGATGTTTCGGCTGCTTAGGGGGAAGTCTGGAGTGGGGTATTCTTACTAAGTCGACGAAGCGGTCAACACCCGCTAAGCGATAGAAAGGGGTCTATCCAAAAATTAAAGCTAAATGATGGAAAATGAGGGTAGCGTTGAGTTCGTGTATCAGCGAAGAGAACGAACGGTGTGCCTGGATGAGCTGTTTACGCGCTAGCTTCTACTGGCGCCAAGGAATCGCGCCGCTAGCTTTTCGTCACCGGTTGACGCACGTCACACTCCTGAACGGCATCTCATCGGCATTCCAGCCATGACAGCGTTGTCGCATCTCCATCGCCGTAAGCTCCGGACGTTCCGCAGATGGTGACCATTGCCACCAATGCTATGGACCACCCGAGCCACTCACATCACGCACAAGTGCACGAGCGATGTGCTGCTGTCGCGACCCTGCCCAGGTATCCAGACCGTGACAACGACGAAAGTTCTAGAGGAATGCCGTATAGCTGAACAGAGATTGCTTTGGTGACTTGATCTTGCCATATCTCATGGATCCCAGACGACGTGCAAAGGCTGATCGAATCGACGGGAAAGCGCGCCGAGCTTACAGCCGACCGCGAAGCATGATGAGCCAGCTGTGTCGGCTAAGAGAAGTCGACTTGGAATTCTGATTGAGAAAAACGAAGCCGGACGCTTTCATACCTGCAGTGGTGCGCTCCCACGGAAACTGCACTCTCTAATGTTCAGATACGATGACTGCCTTACCAGCTATACGAGGTCTTCTTCGATCTCGACATCACAACCCACCTACAACGATCATCACCAAGCGTACAGGAAACCCCAAGTGCTTGTGTGCCCAGGTCGCATATTCAGACCAAGAAGTTGAGTGCTTCATATTCTGCGTCTCACGAGAGGATACAGTCTTTGCTCCAACCTTAGCGATACTCATGCGAAGGTGTCATGGAGAACTATACAGTCTGAGGCTTCATGCTCCAAACTTGGCCTTCGCAAGGGGCCGCGTGGGTGCATCGCAGCAACATTGAGCGACCGCGGTCCGTGGGCTGGGTAGTGGGGCGGTCGTATTGCTGTTGGGGTGTTGCCGTCCGCAAGAACTAAATGGTATGGAGCTTTGGAATCGGATACCTTTTGCATATGCACAATCGTTGAGAAGGTAAGGAACGTAGTAACCTGTAAACAGACAATCGGAGAGCGCCGACGCGGAGCGTAACGCACGTCCTTCGCTTTCGGATTGTTAAGAGCGCTGGTCGCTCCCTATTGGACGCTTCAAATTTAGATACCCATGCCGGGGTTTTTCGTTCTCCGCCTCATGCCTCTCCACACAACTCCGCGCTAGGATCCAGATTTGGGGGCGAAAGCAATCAACTCGGTGCGTTTTTGAACACGCCGAGTCAGAAAGCACCGAGGGTATTGCATGATCACGATAAAACAACGTCAAGAACCATGGGATGAAAATTAGCCACGAAGATCACCATATCAAGAATGCTTTCGGGAGTTGCATTAATCACAGAAGCCGGATCTGGTACGTTTTCTTGTTTCTATCTTTGCATTTTTATGGCTTGCACAAAGTTTGTAGCAAAGGAGATAGAAGGCTAATACTACGTTGGAGGCTTCGGCCAAAGCGCCGCATACTCGCTGGCCCGCAATGGTGTTCAACAATTTGCCCTTGTCGACACCAACGAGGCTGGACTGCAAGAGACAACGCAGACGCTAGCATCGCGGTACAAGGTGACAGACGTGCTGAGTGTCTCCACTCCATGCAGTACGGAAGAGTCCGTCGAGGCTGTCGTTCAACAAGCCGCGTCACGCTTCGCTCGTATCGATTTCGTCATTCTGAATGCCGGCTTCGGTGGGCCCATGGGCGGCAGTCCCGACACGGCACCCGCCGCATTCGATACCCACCTCAAGGAACACGTGACTGGTGTCTGGCTCTGGCATCGGGCCGGGATACGGCAAATGCTGCGGCAGGAGCCGCGCGACTCGCGATATGGCCGTGGCAGTATTGTACATGTCTGCTCAGTACATGCCTTTGCCGCTTCACCACCTCAAGTCGCTGCTGGTGCGTATGTAGCGGGTCGACATGCTATCCTCGGTTTGACACGCTCTGAGGGCGTGCTGTATGCACCCCAGCAGATTCGTATCAATGCGCTCTGCCCTGGGTACATCATGTCGCCGCTCATCGCGTCCTCGGAACAGACCAAGGCTTTCATCGATAACCTCGTGCGAGAGCGTGTGCCTGCAGGCCGGCTGGGAGATGCTGAAGAGGTTGCTGATGCTGTTGTGTTCTTGGCTGGGCCCATGAGCAGCTACATGTTTGGTCAGTCATTGGTACTGGATGGGTATGTATTGTTCAATCTTTAGGTGAGAAACCATGAAGCGCTGACTGGCGATAGGGGCTATTTGGCCCAGTGAGGAGCCACGATGCTGTAGCATAATAGGAGATAATACAAACGTACCTCAACTTCTTGTCTCGAAGACGAACATCATACCGAGCGCATGTGAAATGCTTTCTCCCAATGGTTCAACACATTATTCTTGGGTATAGTGCTAACACAGATTGCCTGCCGCACCGTTGCTCAGCAGTGAGCGCGCTTTGAGACGACCGATACATGCGCGCACTAGACTGAGATTTGCGCGGACGAGGTCAAGACAAGCTGGCGCAAAAGCCGCTTTCCCGTTCGGCGTTCCATTCGCCCCTTTATCGGGAGAAGATGCGGTAGACGACGAGGATCCAGATGTGACGAGAGCAGCTTCGAGAGAACCTAAGACGGCTGAGAAGCCTGTCAGGCGCAACGTCATCAGTTCGTTGCTGAGCGCATCGGCTTCGTCGGCAGCGAGATCGTAGTTGCCGAGGGAAAACTTCCAAGGCTGATTGGCATGCGGGCTCTCGACAGTGTTGCTGGTGTTGGGCGGGGGTGTACTTGTAGTCGTGGTATTGCCGTTGCTGGAATCCGTGGATGCTTCTGCGACGGCCTCTTCATGAAGGTGCCATAATCGACACAGCCAGTCGACCAGATGAGCGCACAAGATGGTGACGGCAGTGAGTGGGAGTCGTTGTTGGCGACATCGTTCGCAGCTCAGTACGGCCAGACATGGTCGTTCTGCCTCGGAGGTGACTTGGAATGCGGTTTCGAGTGGTACTTGCGACGAAGTGGTGTATTCCTCAACGCGGGCGAGCGTTCGCAGAGCGAGAAAAGCACATCCACAGTCAACGCGATGCATCTTTGTTTGGTCGTTCGAGTATCGTGGAAACAGTCCTGACGGTATAGTCGTGAGAGTTACAGTATATTATACTTGCGATTTCTCTCATTCGTGGGAGTATCTTCGTGAGAGTTACATCTTATGGCGTCACCTTCGCATGGGAGCCCTGTCACTGTCGGGTGTCGGATGTCACCTAGCGAGCTCGGTGTGTTCTGAGTCAAGATCCCGAGGGGGTGGGTACCCGTCAGCCCAGTAAGATACAGTGCTTATCCTCAGGTAGCGGTGCTATATCGACAACTCGATAAGGTATAGCATCGTTCAAACGCTCAACACCAATAATGCGCCGAAGATCTTGGATGGTGCCGGGCTGACTGTGTTCGGAAGTACAAACAACGTAGAAGAACTGATTATTTGCACCACTCCATCACCCCATCACCCCATTATCCAAACCTTTCGCAGACTTGATCTCAGTGCTGAGAATCTTACAACACCCTCGTATTGTATTCACCCAACATGGCTCCTTACGACAGTCCCGCAATTGCCGCAGGCTCCACCGTCCTTGTAACAGGGGCCAACGGTTTTGTTGGCGCTCACGTCACAGACCAGCTTCTCCAGCAAGGCTACAAGGTGCGAGGCACAGTGCGCGAGGCCAGCAAGCACCAATGGCTCGCAGATCGTTTCTCGCAGCAGTATGGCGATAACAAGTTTGAACTCGTGACTGTCAAGGACATGAGAGAGCCCGGCGCGTTCGACGACGCGGTGTCAGGTATTCCCACCGCCTAAACACAACACCGTTTCATCACTGACAAGTCTTACCGTCCAGGTGTCTCCGGAATTGTGCACGTTGCCTCAGTACGGGACATGGGTGTCACACCAGACGAATTGCTCCGAACCACCGTGGCCGGAACTCTGGGCTGTTTGGAAGCCGCAGCCAAAAAGCCCAGTGTGAAGCGCTTCGTGCTGACGTCGTCTTCAGCTGCGGTCCGCTCGCTGCAAGCATACCGAGGGACTGACACAGTGTCTGCGGATGAGTATGACGAGCAGACGCTGGCCTTGTCTAAGAACATTCCAGATTCGCTTCCACCGATGCATAAGTTCATGATCGCGTACTTTGCTTCCAAGGTCGCGGCCGAACAGGCATTCTGGGAGTGGATCAAGAACAACAAGCCGCACTTCTCTGCCAACGCAGTGCTGCCTTGCACTATCTACGGTAGTCCGCTAGACGTGGCCCACCAGGGCTTTCCGTCTACAGCGCGTATCCCGCTCCAGATCTTGGACGGCGATACTGACTCCATCAAGCATGTACAGCGTTGTATGTAACCCCTGCTCTTTCCAAATGTGCAGCGCAGACAACAGCTAACACTAGCGCAGTTTACTACGTCCACGTTCAGGACGTCGCTCGTCTTCATGTTGCCGGCTTGATCAACCCAGCCGTCAACGACGAACGCATCTTTGCTTACGCTTCCTCTTACTCAATCAACGAGTTCTTCGAC